GGGGGCAGTTGTGGGGCAGATCTTGTTGTTGGGGGGCAGTTGTGGGGCAGGGAGAGGCCAGATCCCACCTTGGACCCATATCTATGGGGCAGGGAAACAATTTGATCTACCGATCGACCACCAGATTTCGACGGGGGGCAATAATTTGGTGGGCAAACCTTACGGGGAAATTACGGGAGGAAGGAAGCAACGAGATGTCCTTGTGGGGGGGACAGATCCCCTTCCCACCATCCCCGCCCTATATCTATGGGGCAGAAAAACATCCCCATTTTCCTCCTCCTCCTTGACGAGGGGTCCTGATGCAAAATGCGCCCCCTAACCGCCCCCCCCCACCCCGTTTTTCTCGCCGTGCCGACAGTCCACCTCAAGCGTCACTTCATGTTCCGCAACCACCTCTGCCTGGCTTTCGAGCTCCTCTCCTACAACCTCTACGACCTCCTCCGCAACACCAATTTCCGCGGCGTCTCCCTCAACCTCACCCGCAAATTCGCCCAGCAGCTCTGCGCCGCCCTCCTCTTCCTCGCCACCCCCGAGCTCAGCATCATCCACTGCGACCTCAAACCCGAGAACATCCTCCTCTGCAACCCCAAACGCTCCGCCGTCAAAATCGTCGACTTCGGCAGCTCCTGCCAGCTCGGGCAGAGGGTGAGTTTGCCGGCAAGTGGGAGGAGGGGGGTGGAGCTGACGGTGGGCACGCCCACGCCGCTCAGGCTCCGCCTCCTGGGCCGGGAAGACCCGCCCCCGGGGTGCTGAGTCTTCCCCTCGGCAAGTTGGGGGATATGGAGCCTTAAGCCCCGCCCCCAGGCCAGAAGGACACACCCCCTGCCTTGGGTCCACCTCCTGGGCTGGGAAGACCCGCCCCCAGGATGCCAAGTCCCGCCCACAGCAAGTTTAGGCCTATAGAGCATTTAGCCCCGCCCCCTGTAAAGAGTAAGCCCCGCCCCCAAGCCAGAAAGACACACCCCTTTGGCTTGGCTCCGCCCTCTGGGCTGGGAAGACCCGCCCCCGGGGTGCTGAGTCTTCCCCTCGGCAAGTTGGGGGATATGGAGCCTTAAGCCCCGCCCCCTGATGGAGTAAGCCCCGCCCCCAGGCCAGAAGGACACACCCCTTTGGCTTGGCTCCGCCTCCTGGGCTGGGAAGACCCGCCCACCCAATGCTGAGTCCTGTCATTGGCAAGTTTAGGGCTATGAGGCATTTAGCCCTGCCCCCTGA